GGGTGGGGCAGGAGCATGGCAGGAAAAGATGGCTCAGTGGGTGAGCACTTGCTGTACAAACTTGCAGACCTGGTCTGGATTCTTTACAATCAGCTGTCTCAACCTATGGGTTGTAACCCCCAGGGGGTTACATAGCAGATATCCTGCATATCAAATATTTATACTATGATTCATAACAGTAGCAAGATTACAGTTATGAAGTATCAGTGAAATAATTTTATGGTTGGAGGTCACTACAACATAAGGAACTGCATTAGGAAGGCAGAGAACCGCTGGTTTACATGTAACACGGATCTACAATCCCAGCAGTCCCACAGTCAGATGGAGGTGGAGACAGGAGACTCCCAGAAGCTTGTGCAGAAGCTAGTCTGGCTTGTGCAGCTTTCCAAACAGGGTAGAAGGTGAGGGCTGACCCTCAAGTTGTCTTCTGTCCTCCACACATGTGCCACGGTGCACAAGTTCCTGCATTCACACATATGAACGTGCACACACACACACACACACACACACACACACACACACACACACACACACACACACCTAAGAGGAAAAGATACTTTTGAAGGAAAAACTAAACCAAGTAAAACTGTGGCTTGTGTGACAGATCATTCCTTTTGCAGTGAGTACTGATAAAGATTAAACAGCAATGGGGCGGGAACACAGCTCAGGGGTTAAGAGCACTGATTGCTCTTCCTGTGTCCGGACCCAGGGTCTGCCCTAAGCACCCTCATAACTGTCTGTAACTCATCTGGAGAGATTTGATGCCATCTTCTGGCCTTCTGGGGCACTGCATGCACATGGTGCCTAGCCGTGTAACAGGCAACCTTCCCCCACACAAGACAATATAATAAAATTAAAAAGAAACATTAGACTTCAGTGGTACCTATCTTTCTGTCTTTGGTTATTGTTTTTGTTCTGTGTGAAAGTGTGGTCACCTCTGAAGAGACAAACCGTGTGCAAGGAAGCACGGCATGTCCTAAAGTGATTCTTGTGATTGCTTTATTACAATAGGCAAGGATCCACACAGTCTAATTCATATGCATGCTCCTCCCAGACATTGTGCTGTTTGTTAGTCCCATCTGAAGACCCTTGAAAGGCTCCTCTGTGGTCCCCTTCCCCTGCAGGAATCCTGCAGCTGAGCCCTGCACCATGTACCACCAAGTCCCCTTGCTTCCCCTGGCATCCCACAGCCTATAAACGAAGGTAGTACATCTACCAGAAAGGCATACACCTGAGCTCTGGAGCTGTGACCTGTTTACATGAACCAGCCCTTGGCGTTAGGCTTGGGAGATGGCTGTGCTTCCGTATCGGCCAGTACTCGGAGCATGTATGTGCCTGCGTAGACCAGGAACTGTCCTGCTACCTGGGCAGCATAGGACACAAATCGAAGCAGACTCCTGAAACAGAATGAGATAAAAACACATCAGGCTTGCAATCCTGGTCTGGCCAGAATTGGAATGGTGGGAACACCTCACCCCATGCCACTATATTACTAAGCTCCAAGGAAGTAGCAATCACGCTTGAGTTGTGGTATTCGTGAAATGCCACTTTCAGGGCACACAGTGTCTGAATGCTCCCTGGTAGGCTGCCAGTACTATCCAGGTCCAGGGCCACCTATTGGGGTACACAGTCCTCAAAGCCACTTTGCTAGGCACCTGCCTAAGGAGGAACTCATGAGCCCTACAGAGTCTCTGCTGATCCTGAGGGCATGTGTTTACTCTTCGAGGGTTCTAGCAGTCTAGGTGGGTGTGTTGGGCTTGCTGCAGCCATCCCTTAGCTCAAGGTGACAAGACCCGTCAAGCTGAGGAAAGCTGTAGAAAAACACTGGAATTACGATCCTCTGATCTGGCGTGTGGAGGGTAGGTAGCTGGGGTGGTCCAGTGAAGGCACACTGCCCTGTCATAGTCTCTCAAGTCCCTAGACTAAACTAGTGTTATTTCCGACCAAACCAAACAAAAGTGTTCCCTCGAGTTCTTATTCTCTTCCTGGTCCCAGAAGCTTTCACTCCAGCTGTCCTAAGTTCTGGGCAGAACATCCAGGCCAGATTCTATGGCATGGGTGTGCGTGTGTGTGTGTGTGTGTGTGTGTGTGTGTGTGTGTGTGTGCTGCAAGATACTGAACCTAGAACCTCTAACATGCCAAGCAAGTGCTCTACCACTGGACTATATCCCCAGCTGGACTTTGGCTTTCTGGTATAAGTCTGTGGTCTGATTTAAATTGAAGACTACTGCACCAGAGTACACCTGATCACAAGAGAGGATTCAGCCAGACCTTGTTTGGGGCCCTGGAGTAGAAGACAAGTAAGGAGGAGCCATCTGTGCCACACCTGAGTGTTTCCAGATACCCCTGAATACAGATACTGTTACCTTAACATGGCCTTGGCACTTGTGCATCGGATATCATAGGACACCGAGTACATCTCATACATGGTGGCCTTGATGTTGAGGCAGCCGAGAAAGTCCTTGGGATTCAGCCTATACAGGTCGAAGGTAACCCTGGCTATTCCCGATTTCTTTGGTTGCTTGTAGACTGGGACATACTTACTGCCCTAGAGCAATGAAGAAAGCAAGGGATAGACTTAGGACTGGCATTAGCCAAGACAGTCAAACCACACAACTCTGGGGTTATTGCCAAAGTTAGAGTCTCCTAAATGTTGGCTGTAATTATTCCAGTCATGTTTACAGCAGGCCACCATGTTATAGTACAGCCATGCCTAGACATGCACTCTTCCCTCATCAACTTCCATGTCAGTGACTCAGGATGAGTCGGCTTTGGTTTTAAGAACTTGGTGTGTGACATACAGAGGTGCTCAGGGTCCTGCCTTAGGGGTCTCAGCCTTGCTTGTTTGCTTGAAGCCCTTAAGCTATCCCTTGAGTATCTGAGGACATGGTCAGCCTCCTCTTGTACCTGTCACAAAGCCAGAGAGGAGCAGGAAGCACTGTTTGTGTTTCATTTCATAAGTAGGTTTGATAAGGAAAATGCTGGAACTCTGAGACTCCGGGAATGAGTGGAACAGGCCTCTCTCCAAGTGTCTCCTATTTTCCAGGAACTGCCAATGAGGAAAGATGACTGTGTGGAAACATTAACCACTTATAGAATCACTCTGTCCACCAGGGACACCAGGTGACCCTTCAGGTTGGGAGAGACACACACTCCTAGGTTTGTAGATGACTCTACAGTAGACTCCAAGAGAACAAAGAAGTCCCAAGATGCAAATGGGGATGTGACTGAGCAAGAGAGAACTTGCCTAGCATGTGCAAGGTTCTGGGTTCAATTCAATCTCCAGTCCAGGGGTAGGGGTAGAGGTAGGGTAGGGGCAGGGAGCCAGTCCTGGCTTGTGAGCTGCTTTGCCAAGTGTTTTTTGTTTTTTGTTTTTGTTTTTTCCCACACACACCAGTCCCACTGTATCTAGGGTCAAGCTAAGATGATGCAAGAGTCCCCATGCCTCAGGGACTTTCGGAGTTGGGAGTACTTGGAAACTGAATGTTACATAATGAAAACGATCAAATACATTTGAAATTTAAACATAAAGTCCCATAAAAGTGTGCCAGCCCTTCTTGCTGAAGCCACTGCTGGTGTCCCTCTCTTCTTATTACCCAGATCACAAATGACAGGTGATTCTGGTTGTCACCCAGTGCATCTCTGTATACCAGCTATCCACAATCTGAAAAGGGAACACCATTTAAAAACCCATGTCTAAGTTGAACACAGTGGTTCATGTCTTTATTCCCAACACTTTTGAGGCAGAAGCAGTCAGATCTCTAGGAGTTTGAGGCCAGCCTGCTCTATATAGCAAGCATCAGGACCCCCAGGGCTATGCAAAGAGACCCTTTCTCAAAACAGACAAACGAGTCACGACTAAATTATCACCTCCGCCAGCTCTTCTTCACTGTCTCCCATTGTTTTTGGGCTTTTCAAAGTTTGTAAGTCAAGATGCCCTCACGATGCTAAGTGCAGGGGCCCTCACACCTGGACATGCAGGCTTCTAAGCAGCAGGAAAGGTAGGGCACGACTGGACCCTGCCTTCTTCCAGGGTGGCAGGGAGCATCTCATGGGGTTGTGGAGCCCTTAGACTGAGCAAGGGAGACATCTGGTGGCTGTTTCTTGGTTGAAGATTTTGTTCTAGTGCAAATGGGCCCCAGGATAACTTTCCTGAGGTAAGGTGGCCATCTGTACTCTGAGGGGAAGTCACCATCTCTATCTTACAGGAAAGTGGCTGAGACATTAAGCCAGGCAAGGACTCCAGAATCTTTGACGGGGCTCAGTGGCAGAGCATGAGCTGTGCATATCTGTGAGGGGCTGGGTTCCATCCTCAGCACACCCCCCCCCAAAAGTCAACCCTCCAGGCAACCCAGTATTTCAGATCCTCAGCAGCCCTGGGACACAGGAGTCACGATATTCACACTGATAGTATCTCATCATGACTTGGTACTGTGCTACATTTCTTAGGTCCCATTTATCACGAAGAGCTTAAATGTGTTTCCTCTAAATTTACCTCTAAACTCTCATTTGTATAAACCAACAACAAACAACCTTTTCCTTTTGTGTGAATTTCCTATTGCTGCTATAAGTTACCAGAACCTCGGCTTAGAAGTCACATGCTTATGCTCTGCCGGCTCTGGAAGCAGACTGCCACCTAAGACTGCCACCTGTCTTAGCCTGTGGTCCTCCTCTTCCTTTGCATCTGCTCCTAGCTCTTATCCTCCTGGTCTCCCAGCCCATGAGAACCCCATGGTGACACTGGACCCCAGGGAAATGCAGGATGAGCTCTCGGTCTCAAGACACATATCTGCCAAGGGCCTCTGGCCAGGTGAGGCTCTGAGAATGAATGCAGACACTATGGAGGTCACACAGGGGACCACACCTTCCTCAAACAGAAAGCAAAGGGTGGAAGAGCCACTCTGTGAGAGAACATCAAGCCACGGCTAGCTTGTCCCCAGTGACACGCCTTTAATCCCAGCACTCTGGAGGCAGAGGCAGAGGCAGAGGCAGAGGGATCTCTGTGTGTTTGAGGCCAGTCTGGTCTACAGAGTTCCAGGATGGTAAGGGGAAAAGAAGAAAGAGGGAGGAAAAGGGGAAAGAGGAGGAAGAAGAGAAAGAAGAAGACGAAAAAGAAGAAGAAAGAAGAGCCCAAGACTAATCTGTTTTTTTCAGAGGTTTTCTAATTTGCCTAATCTACAGGCCATTCTACCTTACTTACTACCCATGTTAAGGATAGCATTTGAGGAGAATACAAGCATGGTTCTTACAGGGGACCCAGGCTCAGTTCCCAGCACCCACACGGAGGCTCACGACCATCTGTTACTCCGGTTCTAGGAGACCTAAGATTATCTGAAGGTGCCGAGCACACCCATGATGCACATATGATAAACCAAGCTGCCTCCATCTTGGTCTTGGAAACCATCTTATAGCAAAGACAAACTAGGTTTGTTTCTGTTTATGATTAAATCTGTTTTTCTTTTTCCAAGGATTGAGCTATGCCCCTATCTGTAACCTTAAGTATAAATGATTCTGTTCTGCCTTTTCTAGGAAACGGCAACCATGTCTTTGTTTCAGGAAGCTGCTATGACCGACTTATTATACTTATGTTATGTATCTGTAACCCCCATTTGGGAATCCCCTGATCCTGAGCTACAAAAGCCTTATCTTCCCTATGACCAGTGCTGATCTCTCAAACCCCACCTTAGGAGGAGGCAGCCTGAGTACACAGATAAAATTTGCTTTAATTTGACCATGATTGGGGTGGTGGCCTTTCTCCTGGTGTCTGTGGAATTAATACATACATACATGCAGGCAAAACACTTATACATATAAAATAAAATAATCTTAAAAATTATGAGGTACTCATGTGCTGGTGTACATACGCATGTAATAATAAGACAAAACAAAACATTATCTACTGCAGAGGTCCTGCAAGTCTCTTCTGGTTATCCCACTGCCTCCACAGGAGGAAGTTACCTTGGCTGTGCATCTTTCCCAAGAACACTATATTGTTAATTTTGCATCGTTTTGAGCTGTCTAGAAATGGTTTAATGCAGAGGTTCTCACGGTGTGGTCTGGAGATGGAGGATCAAGCTTAAGATCTCTCGTGGGTTAAAACTGTTTTCATGCCGAGCCGAGTGTTGGTGGCACACACCTTTAATCCCAGCATTTGGGAGGTAGAGGCAGGCGGATCTCTGTGAGTTCGAGGGCAGCCTGGTCTCCAGAGTGAGTGCCGGGATAGGCTCCAAAGCTACACTTCAAAAAAAAAAAAAAAAAAAAAAAAAAACAACAACAACAACAAAACAACAACAACAAAAAACTGAATCTGAGTCCCCTGCAAGAGCAGCAAATGCTCTTAATTGCCAAACCATCTCTCCAGCCCCATACCTGAGAATTCAAGTGTCTCCTATACATTAAAGATCTTTGCAAAAATATAAAATTATAATTCCTTGCTTTTGTTTTGGAGAGTGGTCATTTAAGAAAATATTTTCTTCTTTTCTGTTTTCTTTTCTTTTCTTTTCTTTTCTTTTCTTTTTTTTTTTTTTTTTGAGACAGGGTTTCTCTGTATAGACTTGGCTGTCCTGGAACTTGCTCTGTAGAGCAGGCTGGCCTTGAACTCACAGAGATCAGCCAGCTCTGCCTCTGGAGTACTAGGATTAAAGGTATGGGCCACCACTATCTGTCAAAAATGTTTTCTTATTAAAATATGTAGTTCAAGCTAACCTTCACTTAGTTACTTCTAATCAATACATATCTTTTAATTTCTCAATTTTAATTTTGGCAATTGGAAATATCTGTATGTATGGCTTATAGTTTCTCAACCTTGGCACAAATGACATTTGTTTCAAAGGCTATGCATTGCAGTTTCCATACTAGGCAGTGACAGCTGTGTCCTCTACCCCAGTTTATCATTCTAAACTGTCTTTAGATATTAATACATGGCTCCTGAGGGCAAAATATCCCCAGGTAAGAAACTTTGACTGACAGGTATTTGTTGACTGTATTGGTGTAATCTATGCTAACAAAAGGTACTTGGAGTCTTAACTACTTTTCATAAATCCTGGGATGAAAAAGCTTGAAGGTAGGTTGCCTAATGCACTATTCTCACTCAGCACAGTCATGGAATTTACTCAGACAATGCCTTGTATCTGCACTTCATGTGTCTTCAAGGTTAAAGAGCGTTTTAATCAGTAAGTATGCAGCAGGATGTCAACTTATGTGAGCTGAATGGACGTACGGTGATGGCTGGATGTACATCTCCACCCTGCTGCAATGGACGTGAGGTTTGTTGCCAATATTTACCATCACTCACGAGTGGGACACGAGAAGTCTGATACGCATCAGCTTTATAGTGTTAGTGTGTTCTAGGGCCATGTGCACAGGCATGGATCTGTGTTCCTAGGTCACAGACTGTGTTTCAACTCTGTTGTTTTAAATATCTGTCTGTAGGAGGGGAGGGAGACTTATCCTATGTCTCAAAGATGGAAGAAGAAAATCATGGGGCTCCATTCCCTCTTTGCTCACTGCACTCTCTGACTCCAATATGTGTGGTTTTGCCGCCCTGCTTGCTCCTGCAAGGGTGTGCTGCCTCAGTGAGCAGGCAGAATTGATCGTGGACTGGACCCTCCCAAATGGTGAAACAAAATAAACCTTTCTCCTAAATTAATTGTCTCAAGTATTTTATTAAAATGCAGCCAGAGAAACAATACAAACACACACACACACACACACACACACACACACACACACACAGACAGAGAGAGAGAGATAGAGAGAGAGAGAGAGAGAGAGAGAGAGAGAGAGAGATGAGCTGGCCATGCTAGCTTGCCCAGCTTCCTAAGAATAAAGTCAGTCAACAGTTACAAGTTCAGATGTACTGATCTGCCTCAGCCAGCTCATTGGCCAAAGCTTATGCTTTAAAATGATTTGTTTTGTGGGCCGGGCATTGGTGGTGCATGCCTTTAATGCCAGCACTTGGGAGGCAGAGGCAGGTGGAATTCTGTGAGTTTGAGGCCAGCCTGGTCTCTAGAGTGAGTGCCAGGATAGGCTCCAAAGCTACACAGAGAAACCCTGTCTCAAAAAACCAAAACAAACAAACAAACAAATAAAATGATTTGTTTTGAATAATACAGTCTAAATTCATAGACATTTAATTTTCTAGAAACACTCAAGAATCCTTTTAAGGATTTAGGCTTAAATCCTTTAGGATTGAGGCTGTAGCCAGGAGGTGAGTACATAAAGAGTATGATCAGGACATGGCTCAGTCAACACTAAACTACACAGTGCACCTGTGGGTAGAACACCTACCTAGTTGTTGTTTGCATAGCAAGGCTATACTTACCGGTGTCCATTTCTGTCCCTTTTCCAAGATCATGAAATGCGTGTTGTCCCTTAAGGTCTGAAAGAACTCCTCTGTGTCCACCACGGTACCATCCTCCTCCAGTACCAGTGTGACCAGGCTAGCTGTGATGACCAGGACATCCAGAGTCTAGGTTTGCAAGGAAGCAGAGGTACAGGGTGAAGGGAGCTATTCTCATGGGACCATCAGTGACATTTATGTTAGGGTTTCAGGAGGGCTGTCTGTCTGTCTGTCTGTCTGTCTGTCTGTCTGTCTGTCTGGGATAAAGCTATAGAGGAGAAGAAACCCATTGGCTGGTGTTTATGATTCAGCCTTCACTCAGAAAAACAAATCAAGATTTTAACTGGACCTTTCTCTTCCTAAGGAATGAGATAGTGATCTGTTGCAAATTTACAATTTCTATGATTGCCTATTGAGTGCTAAGCAGATGACCCTGCACGTCTTATACTTCAAGCCTGTGCCTTGTGCAGCTGCAGAGGCTGCAAGCTAGATGCCCATTTCTCATCTCTGTAGCACCTCTGAGTGATGCTTCTCTGGGAGTCTATGCTGCTTCCTTGTCTGAGAGCACTGTTTTAGCATGAGGGCTACCTATCCTAGTCAGCTTTCCCAGGTCTCTATTTCTCCCTTATCAAAGAAGGAAAATAATTCGTTCAGTTGCTGGATGCTGTTAAGGCATTCATGCCAGGCCCCCAGGCTTTCATGATGCAGAGATGCAGTGGCACTTGGAGGACTTAGACCCATCTTTCATCTACCTGTTAATTTCCCTCAAGGCCCTGAAACCTAGAGAGGGACTGATGAGTTTGATATTGTCCCTTCCTCTTTCTCCCTCCCTCCCTCCCTTCCTTCCTTCCCTCCTTTCTTTGTCTCCTTCCCCATCCCTTTCTTTGAGACAGGCTCTCTCCATGTAGTCCTAACTGTCCTTGAACTTGCCTTGTAGACCAGGCTGGCCTCCAACTCAGAGATCTGCCTGCTCTTTCCTCCGGAGTGCTGGGATTAAAGGAATGTGCCATCACTACCCAGCTGTGATATGCTGTCTTTCTTGACTCCTGTGCCTTACCTTGCTGATAAGCTCCTGCAGGCTGCTGGCCATCACCCCACGCCGGCTGCTTCGGTCATGGTTTGAGACCCTAAAAGGGCGAGCTGGGTGCACGAGGGGCATCAGCAGGGCCTTCTTAGTCTGCGATCCCATATATGTCAGGGGCCTAGGAAGGAGGTGCAGAGGAGAACCATCTTCACACAAGGGTTTTTAAGAAGAGGCTTGAGACAGAAGCAAATAATGCAGTTTTAATATTTGCATCTAAAAGAAACACACTGCCCAGGAATTACTAAATGTCACACACATCCATACCTCCAAGGGGCAGGCAAGTAACACATCAATTTAGCACATCCAGAGCTATCCTGGGGTTAGTTGTCAGCCCCTCTCCAAATTATATTCTGCAATACGGATTCAAAAAAATGTTAGATTTATTTATTTTATGTGCATGAGTAATGTGTGTCTGGTACCTGTGGAGTTTAGAAGAGTGCATTGGATTCCTTGGAACTGGAGTTATAGGTGGTTGGGAACACTTCGGAGGTGCTGGGAATAGAATCTGGGTCCACTGCAAGAGCAATACATGCTCCTAACCCCTGAACCATCTCTCCAGCCCCCGAATATATACTTATTTTGTTTATTATTAGTCTGTATGTATCTGCATTTACATGGAGGGTACACATCCTGCAGTGTGTGAGTGGAAGGCAGAGGGCAGCTTCATGGAGGTGGTCCTCACCTTCACTTCTGTGTGGATTTTGGGGATCAAATACAGGTTGCAAGCTTGTGAAGCAGGAGCCTTCACCCACTGAGCCATCTCAGTAGACTGCCAGGCCGGTTTTAGAACTAAAAATTCAAGAAAATGATTTCTAGTGACTACAAAGTAGCTAAGCCACTTTAGAGAGTTGGTACGGACAGAAAAACACACAGTTACATGTTTGTGTAATACTGGCTCAGGAGTTCATTTAAAAGCCAAATACTGGTCAAGGTAGCAGTCAGTTCAGGATGTTACTTTGTTTTATTTTTAGTGTAGGGGTTGGAAATTCCGGGCTGTGTGCTTGCTAGGCAAGTGCCCTGCCACTGAGCTAACTCCTATGGCCTCAGCCAAGGTTTTGGGATCAGGATAAACAGAACTACCTTCATAAATGTCTTGGAAGAACAGAAAGGGAAAACTCAAGGTCCCAAGTCATGTGAAATCTTGTATGTAGTTTTAATTCTTTGGAAAATGTGGGGTTATACTCCTTCCGCTAAGCTAGGTTAAAGCATGTAAAATAGCTTGCACTCAGAATATTCTTTTCACATGTACTGACAGAAATGATAAATATAAGTTAGTATTCTCTTTTCTAAGCAAAGACTAAGCCATAGACTCGAATGGACACAAATCTTTACTAATTCTATTTTAGACAATGTACACGGAAATCACACCAGCATGGACCAGGGAAGGAATTACAGCAACATCAAAACAACATTTTCTGAGGAAAACAGCCCAATCCTCCATTATTCAATTTTTTTGTTTATGGGAAACTACAAAAAGTAGTACCGAGGATTAGTGAGAAAGAATGAAGATGACTACTTTTTTTTTAAGATTTATTTTTATTTATTATGTATACAGTGTTCTGCCTGCAGGCCAGAAGGCACCAGGTCTCATAATAGATGGTTGTGAGCCTCCATGTGGTTGCTGGGAATTGAACTCAGGACCTCTGATAGAGCAAGCAGTGCTCTTAACCTCTGAGCTGTCTCTCCAGCCCGATGACTACTTTTTTAGTAGTCACCTAGGAAAAGTAAGTTTTGTTTTATTTGGCCTGAATATTTATTTAAACTTTCCAAGTTTGATGGGATTGTTTCTGTTTTTGTTGTTTTGAGTCAGGTTGTCACTTAGCCTCCGTCAGCCTTCAATTCCCTATGTATCAGAGGAAGAACCTAAGCCTCTGAGGGGGCGGCAGG